GGGGAATATGGTAGAGTATAGAACTGTGGGAACCATTGATAGAAATGATGGAGTGTACCTGCGGTTCTCCAAAGTCCCTAGCATGGGTTTCAGCCCTAGTTTAGCCAGGCTTTGATGGAGAGAGATGACATCTCATTATAAACATTTGATGAAGACAATGAAAAAGCAGTTGAAGTGTCTTGGTCAAAAAAGCTCAGAGTTTAAATAAAGTTGTGGTTAATAGGAAAATTTAAGCAAATATACTGTGTAGAGCAACAGGGAGGTCGCTGATAAACTAAGGAAAAATAAGACCCGTGGGACTCTGGGGGAAGAATTCATATTTTGGTGGCTTTTTTGTGTATACATCAAATCACCATATTCAAAGCAAAGTTAATTCAAAAGCTCAATACAATATTCATTCTAAACATGAAGCCTAGTTTGCTTTATCCTATGTACTGATATAAACATCTTACCAGATGCACTTTCCATGATCTTTAGAGAAGCCACATAAACAGCTTTCATTCCTTGTCTGCATGGTTCCTGAATTCAATTTTCCCAGAAAGACATTTTGCTGTTAAGTGTCGTCGAGTTGAATCTGACCCACAGTGACCCCGTATAGGGTTTCCAAGGAGCCCTTGGTGAGCTTGAGCCACTGACCCTGCAGTTCTAATGACTTTGCAGTCTGATGCATTAGCCCACAGTGCCACAGAAAGACTCTAATCTTAAATTGTTTCACTTTCTTCACTTGCATTCTAGACTGTATAGAGGAAAAAACAGCACTGATGGACATTTTTCTGAATTGGTTAGGTGCTTTAATACTCTCAAACTCCATTACCACTGGGAGTCTATGACTGAGTGTAAGAGAAATAATGGTGGTTCTGGAGAAGGCTTTTAGAACTAACCCAATATTCACAGCAGCAATATTTACAATAGCAAAAAGATGGAGACAGCCTAAGTGCCCATCAACTGAAGAACTCAACGGCACTTCACAACAACAACAACAATGGCTAATAATCATGAACATTTCCTTATATGTTTGTTGGCTACCCAGATTTCCTCCTTGGTGAAGTGTCTGTTCATGTCCTCTGCCCATTTTTTAATTGGGTTATTTGTCTTTTTCTTATAAAGGTGTTGTAGTTTCCTATACATTTTAGAAATGAGTCCCTTGTCTGATGTGTCATTGCAAAAGATTTTTTCCCATTCTGTGAGTTCCCTTTTTACTCTTTTGGTGAAGTCTTTGGATACACATAAGGTTTTCATTTTTAGTATGTCCCAATCTTCTATTTTGTTTACTTTTGTTTTTGTAGTTTTCAAAATGTTTGCTTGTCTGTGTATTCCCTGAATTAGAGCCCTCACATCTGTTCCTATTTTTTCATTGAAGGCCTTCATAATTCTGGGATTCACATTTAGGGCTTTAATCCATGCTGAGTTGGTTTTTGTAATAAGCATGAGGTAAAGGTCTTATTTCAATCTTTTGCATATCACTTATCAATTCTGTCAGCACAATCTGTGGAAGAGACTATCACCTCCCCATGCTATAAATTTAGGTACTTTGTCAAAAATCAGTTGGCTGTATGTGGATGGGTGAATTTCTGGATTCCCAATTCTGTCCCATTGACCAATGTGTCTTTCATTGAACCAGTACCAACTTGTTTTGACCACTGTAACTGTGTAATAAATTTTGAAATTGGGGAGTGAGAAGTTTTCAACTTTATTCTTCTTCTTAAGCAGTGCTTTGCTTATCCTGGGTCTCTTTCTTTTCCATAGAAAGTTTGTAAGTTTTTTCCATATCTTTGAAGAATGTCGTTGGAATCTGGATTGAGATTGCATTATATGTGTAAATTGCTTTGGGCAGTATTCTGCCCTCTGCTTTTGAAGGTACAATGACTATTCTGTTCTGACTTGGTTAGAAGCTATAATGATGGCCATAAGAGTCCATGGATCTATTTACCTGTCTAAACTACTTCTCTAGTCTTTAAAAATGCCATTGTCTAGATTTTATTCTTCTGGAGACTTAGAAGTTGAGAGGACAGGTGGTAATATGACAAAAATTCAGTGAATACAGCTATTTATAATGTTTCATCTCATCCAATCGGGCTTAAACCAGTTTGGTACTCATTTTAAACCAATACATTCATCCCCCATCTCAACATTGTTGAGATCAATTTAAAGTAGAGATTCAAGCATAAGTGGCAGAGAGTTGTGAGTTGTGAATGTGAGTGTAGGATGTCAGGGCCTTCAAAGCATTTGGCACACACTTATTCCAATGTTGCTGTCCTATATCAAAGCATACTCAGAGTACCTCCTTGGAAATGGCTTTAAAATTACCCAAGAAATCATGCATTATGGTTTTACTGTCATAACTTGTTTCAGACTTATTAAAGGTACTACTCAGCTTGGTGACTTACCTTACTCACTTGACATGGTTCCAAGTGACATTTGGCTGGTTCCAAAAATAAACACATCCTCAGAAGATGAGGATTTGTGCTCATTGAGGAAAATTGAAAGGACAGGTCACAGGCCATGAAGGGAAGTCTCAAGAAAGGGTGACAAAAGCAATGGCTCTATCAGAAGTTCCTAAAAGGAAATACTTTGAGAAAGAGCTTTCATACTTTGAACACTGATACATTCACATGAAAACAATCCTCTTAGGTCACAGCTACACTCTGAAGAGCATGATGTAGAATGACTGCCAAAATGCACTGATGGTCATGAGGTCTGACTAAGCATGTACTGGTGTCTTTGCAGGGTAATAGCCTTTGAAGAAATTGACTAAGGTGTTTCTGCATCAGATCAACTGAAGGGTTTCCTTTTTATCAAACTTCTAGTGGGTGTGGTATTGTAGGATAAGCACTAGGTTGCTAACCGCAAGGTTAGACATTCAAACCCACAGCTGTTCCTCGAAAAACCTGTACAGAATTGTTATGAATCAAAACAGACTCAATGGCAAATAACAACAGAAACAAGTAGGTATTATGTTTTGTCACTTACTAAATGTTTTTCTATTAGAATAGAAATGACCTTGGTTTTCTGACAGAGGTTTGTCATTTCTTGGCTCCTAATTTGTTGTTGGTGTTAAGTGTCGTGGAGTTGGTTCCGACTCATAGTGACCCTGTATAGGATTTCCAAGGCTGTAAATCTTTACAGGAGCAGAAAGCCTTATCTTTCTCCCGTGGAACAGCTGGTAGTTTTGAACTGCTGACCTTGCGGTTCTCAGCCCGATTTGTAACCACTACGCTACCAGAGCTCCTTCCTTCTAATTTAGGAGGGAGTATTATCTAACACTGATTGAGCTCTACTTAATCCATTTCTGCATTATTGCTTCTTGGTAATGTGAGGATTGAATGAGAGATACAGTGTCATGTAATGGAAAGAGTATGGTTGTTTGAATTAGAAAGACTTGGGTTTGAGTTCTGATTACCATGTAAGAGTTCTGTGACCTTGGAAATTTCTCAGACTCTTGGTGTCCTCATCTCTAAAACCTTATAGGGTGTTGTGAAGACTGAGTAGATAATGGATATAGGTTCTTAGCACAGTGTCGGGTGCACAGTGGGTGCTCACTAAGCAGGAGTCATCTTTGTAACAGCCTTCCTGTGTGCAAGTACATAGTACAAAAACCAAACCCACTGCCACCGAGTATATTCTCACTCATTGTTGGTGATGTTAGGTGCCATGGAATTAGTTCCAACTCATAGTGACTTTATGCACAACAGAATGAAACACTGACCAGTCCTGTGCCAACCACACAATTGTTGCTACATTTGGGCTCATTGTTGATGTCACTGTGGCAATCCATCTTGATGGGGGTCTTTCTCCTTTTTGTTCACCCTCCACTTTACCTAACATGATGTCCTTCTCCAGGGACTGATCCCTTCTGATAATATGTCCTAAGTATGAGAGATCAAGTCTCTCCATCCTGGCTTGTAAGAAGCATTTTGGACATACTTCTTCCAGCACAGATTTGTTTGTTCTTTTGGAAACCCATGTTACTTTCAATATTCTCCTTCAATGCAATAACTCAAAAGAACCAAGTTTTCTACAGTTTTCTTTATTTATTGTCCAACATCCACTTTCATATGAGGTTATTGAAAATACCATGGCTTGGATCATGTACACCTTAGTCCTCAAACTGACATCTTTGCTCTTCAACACTTCAAAGAGGTCTTGTGCAACAGGTTTACCTAATGCAATATGTCATTTAGTTTCTTGATTGCGGCTTCTATGAGTGTTGATGATTGATCAAAACAAAATGAAGTCTTTTTGACAACTTCAACTTTTTCTCCATTTATTGTTATTTATTGGTCCAGTAGTTAGGATTTTTCTTTTCTATACATTGAGGTGCAACCCTTACTAAAGTCTTTGATCTTCATCAGTATTTTAAGTTCTCTTCGCTTTCAGAAAGCAAGTTTGTATCATTTGTAATTCACAGGGTGTTAACAAGTCATAGAAACCCTAGAGAGGGTTTCTAAGGCTGCAAATCTTTACTGAAGAAAGCCTCATCTTTCTCCCTTGGAGTGACTAGTGGATTTGAACCACCAAGCTGGTGGTTAGCAGTTCAGTACTTATCCTCTAGCACCAGCAGAGCTCCTTCACAAATAGTTGTGGTTCAAACTGACCTTGCAATCCAGTGCTTATCCCATAGCACCACATTTAATTTTCCTAATGATCTTAGTTTTCCTATTGTTCTGTGAACATTGAATAATAGCAGAGAGGGAGCTGTAGGAGGATTCCTACAGCCTTACAGAAGCAGGGTAGGGATGCTTGATGAAATACCAGAGGCACATTGGGCTGGATCATCTTCTAAATCCTTCCTAATCCCAGATTTTAGACATCTCTACCATGTGGCTAATGAGATAGTTTTCTTGGACTGTTTTTCTCATGGAGTTCTTTCTGAACAAGACACACACTCAGTAAGTCTATTATAGGAGAGACACAGAAGTCTCGTCAGCTCTGAGAGATAGATTTCAGATGTCACTCCTCAAATCAACTCCCTGTGTTGCCATAGAAATGGGTTGGCCACAATGAAGCCTAACCACCAAGCTCTTACTTAGCCAACCAGCATGGTTAGTGAGGAGTCCTGACTTTGCAAGAAGCCAGAGTAAAGCATTTTATGAGGTAAATGACTCCTGTGAGGTGTCTAAACTACAGATGAAAAATCCCCAAAAAGGGAAAAAGGGGGTAATAATGTATGTGGTTGACACACCCACTACTGACAGAATATAAAATCCTAGACAGGCCCAGGGCTTACACCAGAATAAAGGAAATAGGCTGTGAAACTGATCTTCAGAGCTCCACTCCCTCCCAACACCAGTCATACATCTGCTGCCTGCCCAACATGAACTGCTGCACCAGCTGCTCTGCCCAGCACTGTGTGCCCACTAACTGCCACGTCTGCAACCTGCCTGGGACTTGTAACATCTCTGCCTCTGTGGTCAACTGTGGCTGGCTCTGTGAGGGCTCCTTCAACAGTAACGAGAAGGAGACCATGCAGTTCCTGAATGACTGCCTGGCCAACTACCTGGAGAAGGTGCGCCAGCTTGAGCAGGAGAATGCACAGCTGGAGGGCCACATCCATGAGTTTTGCCAGCAGCAGGTGCCCTATGCATCCCCGAACTACCAGTCCTACTTCCGGACCATCAAGCAGTTCCAGTAGAAGGTGAGGATGTGGGCACCACATTGTCAGCTTAATGCACTTGGTTTCATTCATTCGTTTTTATGATATACAAATTTCTGAATGGCATCTAAGGCTTCTCACAGGTAATTTGAGGATGGTAATGATAAACAATGCTTTGCCTTTGGCAGGACACTTCAAGTAGTCTTAGAAACTCTGTTTTGCAGTCATCACAAGGGATAGCTACCGACTGTGGTTAGCAGAAGGAATCAAACCAAAATCAGTTATACAAAGTTGCCTTGCTTCCACAGGGCTTCTTTCTTAAAATCAGAATATCTAACTTTTTCATCCTATTATGATAACATGTTCTTGTCTACAGAGCATTATAGGAATTAAAAAAAAAAAAAAAAGCCACTGAATTGTTTCTCTGACTAATTCTAAGGCTTTAAAATTTGTAGTAAAAGAGAGTGTCTATGGTAAAGCAAAAAGGCTTTGATTCCAGAAGTCTCACTGATATATACAGACACACATACCACCCACAAAAGCAGACTTGGAGACAGTTCCAAAACAAAGCCATAAGTGTAGATGTAGAAAGGGTGCAAGTAAAGAGTTAGCACAGGAAGGCCAGGGTGGAGGTGAAATGATGTTTGCTGTCAGCAATACTACAGAATACCAGGCAAAGCTGATTCAGGACAGAGCTCTAAAACTCAGAACCACATAGATAGGAATATTTAAAAGGTTTGAAGACTTATAGCTAGTGGAACTTGTAGCAAAAGTAAGAAATCATGTACATTTGAATCTGCCGGGCTCCACAGCCTGGAGCTAACAACTTGAGTGAGAACAAATGGCAAGACCAAATGGGGGGAGCAGACACACCATGGAAAAATGCTCTGGGAATCTCAGAGCAAAGGTCGACAATACACTTTGTCTGTTTTGCTTTGTTCTGATTTTCTTTCTTTCTTTCTTTCTTTTTCTATTTTTGGTATCAGTTCATTGGTCCCCCACTGTTTGCACACCTCCAATCTGGTGACTAGAGGGGTGCCTGAGTGAGTGGACACCCCC